GTATACACCATTTTCTACACAGTATCATCCATGCTCTACTCAGTATACAGCATGCTCTACCCAGTATACACCATGCTCTATACAGTAAGCATCATGGTCTACACACGGTATACACCATGTTCTACCCAATATAGACCCTGCTCGACTCCTCACTATTGTATCCAAAGAAATACCTACGTTGGTATAGTTGGAGATATTGTAGTTGGTTTCCACTACAATCCTACTTGGATAAGAATAGGCATCTCTATTCCCAAATGATATAATAACGAGTTGCAACAAAAATATGACRTCAAACGCSACCATCATCARGACTTCCTCAAGCTGGCGATCTTGCCCTGCTTTTTTCCGCGCTTTTTTAACCTCCTGAGCACTAGGTGGCATKGGAACCGAAGARCYTAYGTCATCCAAATCATCCACGTAGTATCTGACGTCATCTTCCTCCTTAGCCCAAACCTTGTTTTTTTGCTCRTTGATGACGTCATTCTCCTCGAWYGGTCTTTGAAGGTARACACCGAAGTATATCGCCTGGAAAAACACGTAGAAACTYTCTGCTATTGATATTTGAAAGACGAGTGCGAATATTACCGTCATTAACCAGGATACCGTGGTCTGACTGGACCWGGAAAGGCCGGATTTRATAGTGACGAYAGAAGATGCTARYGACARCGCTAAACAAACAAACAAAGCCAGGTAAAAAAACYTGATAGAAAGTTTAAGCGTGTTTTCCTCGTTTCTTATTTTGATGCTGTTTGGGTCGATAAGAAARCCAGGCAAGGGAATCATTTTCCAGAGTTTGGGAACTTTATCAGTGTTTCTCAAGGAGTTGGTATAAGCAAAGTTCACTTGATCGGTWATTCYGCCATCATTTYCGTCRTTTTCCATCTTTTTACTCGAAGTTGACATCCTTCCATCTTCAAACGAGCATTCACTKTCCCCMAAAACWTCCTTCACACATTCTCCATTCYCTGTCRTAKKTTCGWGACTGTTCTTTTGTYGTACATTTTCTGGTGAYTGAGCATTTGATTCAGCAGTAGTTTGGCATGTGTCACTGGGTATYGCAAKAAAATCTYTCTCTTTTATCAAGTGGATGTCATCTMGATTCTCRTATTCTGTATYYWGTGTTGTTGATAWTTCATTTTCAGCTTGTTGAATGATTGGGCTGCCATCTTCGTTTGGCATCGAGGGRRAAATATTTTCTTTGACTTCACCTTGATTCTCGATCWCAGTGCCTTTGTTTATCGTTGTGTCAGAATTTCCATCGAGAGTAGAATCAGGATTCGTAACASCGTGCAAATCTGTTTCCRCTCTCTCRTTTTCATTTTGATTTTCGGAACCRCAGTCGTGATCGGTTAAATCTAMACCAATATTGCGTAAGGARACTTCAGACCATGACTCCGCCAAGTAMTCCCACTCACTTTCACTTTGTAGACTAYCTTYTCTCATCCTATGACTCAATTCACTTTCATTTTCTTTTATTTGTGCTTCATTTTCTTCCTTTGCGTTTTCTAGTTCGTCATTGTTTTCCTTTTCACCGTCGAACGTGTTGGATTGCCCATCAAGAAATGTTATCTCGTTAGCTTTATCCAGGCACCAATCAATGTGTGCTTTTACATCTCTCTCGTCCGGCGGGAGCTGCCCGAATTTACTCTCTGAGTAAGTGAAGAGAAGCTCGAGAAGAAGACGCAAGAAGAATGGAATAACACTGCAGATAGCTCCCCAAATAATGTCACTCAGTTTAAAAGCCATTGGACCAAGAATGATCTTCGTGCTGGGGAAAACATCACCATCTTTTTTTGAATCTACTGCGACTGTAACAACCAGTACTGTTACCATGGTAACAGCTAAACARGAAGTGAACCTCTCAACTCGAGAGAACATTGTTCTACTTTTGAGCAAAAAAGGGGACAGCCAAATATGATTATTCGTAAAGCCTTTTGAAAACATTTGGTCAAAGAGGGTTTTTCTTCGCAAGAACTTACACCTCGGGACCGCGTGTAAAACACACTCGACTGAGCCGTCATCCTCGGATACATCAAGCCAGCGGTGAGCCTCGAAATGCCACAGCAGACCAGTATTTAAGTGACAGACTACAACTTTTTCAAGAAACCACGAAGGTTTGGGTCCACTGATGTCGTGCCATAAGTGAAGCTTGGTTATTTGATCWAGGGATTTGTTCAGGGTCAATAAAAATGAGGTCGTGGTTCCTGACTGGAAAAGCAGTCGYTCGGGATCGCGAAGCACTATGGGYTTAGTTTTCTTTTGTTTGCCATGAATGACGCAGTACACGTTGGCGGTGGTGCCAGCATGGCGTCCACTTCCGGTGTAGAACAACAGGAAGTAATGGTGTGGATGGCGATAGAATGACCTGTGTGGGATTATAGTGGCTCCGATCTACAAAAAGAAGAAAACAGGATTAGAGAATTTCTTTAATCGGCGCCAGCTTGGCTGGTGAAGGGAATGATGCTTTAGAAGTGGTTAAAATAGGGACATTATACTCCAGTACTCAACCCATATAAAAGGTCGAGTCATTATCGTCATCCATATGATGATGATAACGCCATCCAATAGATGCTGATTGATGACGTGACATGAAGACCCCAGACGTCGATGCCCTACAAAGTGGCATAAACGTCATTTTTATGATAATAGTTCCATCATCCAATATGGAAAACCCCCAGACGTCGACGCCCTACAAAGTGGCATAAACGTCATTTTTATGATCATAGTTACGTCATCCAATATGGAAGACCCCTAGACGTCGACGCCCTACAAAGTGGCATAAACGTCATTTTTATGATCACAGTTACGTCATCTAATATGGAAGACCTTCCTACAAACCTAATACAATAAAGACTTACATGCACTTGTTCTTTTGATCTGATTCTCTTGATCCACAGCAAGCCCAACGCGTAAAGTAGAAAGACACCACAGACGGCAGACAGAACAGGGTAATTCATCGACGCATGCTCAATGTTTTTGTAAACTACCGCTGATACTGTGTACCGTGGTTCTGTTGTCGAGTCGTCCGTAGCAACAGAGTAGTTGTTGGCTGTAATTAACATGCATACGACGCGCTGGTGTCAGCTGTTTGAATTGTATTGACCTGTGGTTTCCTTGTTTTCTTCATCAATGTTTTATCACTAGACATCTCGTTTAACATATTGTCGTTGTTTTCTTTATAACTCCCAGAACACTTTTATCATGTTCAAAACCTTGTAGTATTATACAGTGGCATTAATTTCTTTGTTCTTCTTTAGTCCAGTCTTAACCTTGAAAATAGAAATAAAAACAGGTTAAAACAGCCTGAAAAGTTGTAAGATATAAGATAGTTTAAGCATCTTGTTTATGGCAAACGAGAAACTGGCATCAGCTACTAAGTGAAGCATTTTTCACAATTAGTGAAGAATTGAAAAATCTCCAAGTTTTAGATAAATAAAATAAATACTAGTCTTTGGTGAAAAGGTTTGCTAATGGTAAAGCGAAATCCAGAGAAAGAATAAGACCGTGTCTGCGAGAAGAAAAACTCTTTATGAAATAACTGTTCTAAATCTCGCAATCTGATTGGTTGGGAGCGCGTGCTTTATGAGAGTAAACAGCACATTCCACTTCCAGTTTCGTCATTCTTGTAATTTGTATTTTATAAAAAAAATAAATAACTTGCTTGCTGTGCTGTGTGAAGTTATAAATCACTTGGAGATTGGCAGAACACTCGAGAAGTGTCGATTAGCACTTCGCTACGCGTCTTGCTTCTCCTAACACTTCTCTCATGTTTTGCCAACCCCCGCGTGCTTTATTACTGCTTACAGCACGCGCGCGGGTTTACTATTTTTTCAAACATGATTAGTGCTTAATCTCTACTTCGTAAACACGTGACAAAATTTAAGAACCGCGGATATGAACATAAAAAGTAACGAAAAGCAACGAACATACTGAATGAGTATACGAACATATACACCTTTAAAATAATACTTTTAATCTGCTCAAACCCTTAAAATATAAAAATATTTTCATTCGGTTATTGATACTATTAGCTGATACTATATAATATTGAATTATAGTATCGTTTTACTGCTAGGAGGAGCTAACTCTAGAGAAAGAAAAAGAAAAGATTTGTCCCTAGCACTTGGGTTATTCTACTTTCAGACAGACGGCCCCTGAAAGTTGTACAAAGTGTTGTTCCGCTGCATGGAAGCCAAGCAGCAAAATACTTTTTTTTAACTTAACTCAATATTCTTTGGCTTCCAGTTTTTAGCTCAATTACCAACAGTTTTAATGGGAACGTAAAGAAAATTTATCATCCGAGGGAACACAACCACATGTCTTCAAAAAAGATATTTTTTGTCTTTAATGAACAATTTGTCCAGATGGAAATAATAAAAAGTCTACAAATGAACGATGTTTTGCGCGTCCACATTCGAAATCGCTTGAATGAAAATTAAAAATAAGTTTTTTAAAAGTTCCTATATATTTAAAATTTCTAACAACTTTTAAAATGATTTTGAAATGATTTTCTCTTAAGTTCTTATCCTTTTTATAACCAAATATATAATATGGATAGTTGCCCAAAGAGGAAAGTCACGAAGGAGACACGAGGCCATTCGTATGTAAAACCGACTCAAACCTGTAGACCCAAGTTTACTCAGTCCAACAGGTTTTTCTGGTTTGACGTGTATAAGGACTAGCAAGGTATTTGGGATTTTCCTTAGCTTTGAAATGACTTTTCGTTTTCTGACTTTGAGAAAAACTCATCAATTGATATATAGTGAAGAAAACTACAGAATTTTCGCAACTGTATCGGGGATGAAATACTAAATAAAATGAACTGAAACAAAAACAAACAATCTAGATATCTTGTTATATTCGGATTAGAGTAATAGAAATAATGAATTAAGAAGGATTCTACTGTAAGAAAACTAAAATTTCTTATACGAGGCAAAGTATAAAAATGTGTGGGGGAAACAGCTTTTTGGGCTCATTTAGAAGAAGTTCCATTCCGACAGATGATAATTTTCACGATTGTTTAAATATTTGTTCAAAACCTGTATGTATAAAACACTCAAATACTGTATCGCCTTTCGTTCATATCTTGCCTATCAAACATACGAAATTGCTTGGCAAAAATTAAATATTTGACAATGAATACAAACTATGGTGAACTATGGTGTAAATAAAAAACCGACTTTTTGTTTCTTGCTGAGCCAGTAACTGAGCCGAGTCAGTCGCCTCTGTTTAGCATTTTACTGCTAAGAAAATCCGTGCAAAGACATTATAAACTGGAAAAACTCAAGCACTAAGTCTTTTAGAGTCGACAGAAAAATTCAAAATATTGCAATTTTAAACTGAAGGGAGAAAACCCTTGTAGAATAAGATTATAATTTGCCCACCGACTATGAGTGATGTTACATTCTAAACTGAATAAGGAAAGACTTGTTTTCAATGAAATTTTAAAGTACATCGATGGTATTTTATGGCTATTTTAGCTGTTGATAGTCTTGTTTTATTGGATTGGATTTCTTGAGACATGTTTGTTCAAAATAAATATACAGTAAACTTAAGTATTTGTCAAAACAACCACTTCAAGCGAAGTTGTTTTTCTAGTAGCTTAAAAAAATATAGATAAACACTTACCTAAATAGGCAAAAACCAAGACGGCAATATTTTCAAAATAAAAGGATATTCCAGGAAATTTCGCTCAAGTATGCTTCAACAACTAAAATTAATTTCTTGTTATTTTTTCTTTGGATTCTTGATTCAAATTTTAAAGAATTCACTCCGAATTTCTCCAGCTCAACTTGATTGAATTTCGTCGTACGAGGATGCTTTCCCATTAGGTGTTAAATTTCTGTAAACAATAAGATTGGCGTGACAGTTTTTGGGTATTGGTGCCAAAGAAAATATAATGATCTCAAAGCTGTCGCTTTTGGCAAGCTGTGGTTTGTGATATATATAAAGAAAGGCATTTAACTTGTTATAGCGGGTAAACCACATAATGTCAACATTATCTTACTTTGGTGAAATCCGTCTGGTGTTCCCAGCTTGCAATTGTTTATTTTTGGTGATAAATTCGTGCCGACTTGTGCCACTAGTTTCTTCATTTTTCTACAAACTACAACTGAAAAAAATTATACTGTCCCTTTGTCATCTTTTTCAGATCCGTTAAGAATCTTTTTATG